CTAGCGCAGATAGCCCTCGTGTAGCTTTGTCAAATTTCAAAAAACAAACAAACAGTTTTTAGGTTAATTCAAAACAATTTTACAGAGATAACCTTTAATTTATTGCATATTTTAAATAGTTATTTCACCACATATTTTTTATAAGCATAATTATCAAATTGTGACTTTTCTATAAAACAGAGTAAAAACATTTTAAGATCAACACTAATTTTACAATGACCCGGCATGGTCAGGTGGTTAGGGCACTCGACTTGCAATCTGCAGGTCGTGGGGTCGAATCCTCATCACATCGAAACATGCTCACCCGGTGTTCGAACTACGACGCCAGTCCTACTCCCAGATACTCACCTCCAACAGAATTTGGAGGTATGAGAAACACCATACGAAACTACTACTACTAATTTTACAAAAAACGTTCCTGGTGTTAAACAGAAACATAAAATTTAACATCAGAAACTATGTACACATGATCTGTTTTAAATGCCTAATGCCAGTGAAACCAGTGGGTCTAATAATAGTTACAAAAATCATACTAGATTGCAGATACTTCTTTTTACATTCTTCATAATTAGTCCATTGCAGATTTCAGGACAGAAGTGCGTAAAAATAGCAGTTTTCTGTCAATAAATTTGTGAAAGATACAATAAATGAAATATTTAGTTAAATACAAGAAATTAATTTGGCCTACATAATAGAAATTTAGTGCAATAAAGTATTTTAATTACGACAAAAAATAGTAACTGTTGGTTAAGCACTTTCCTTTTAATATGTATATATTTTTTTACAGTTTACTCTCTAAAGATTAAAGTAAGGGTGTGTCATGATATAAAAGACTATTTCGTTCAGATAGTATTGATTAATTTAGTTCTGTGAGTGTTTTATTATTGTTTAGTTTTTGTTATAATAAGAATTAAATGTAGATGATTGTAGAAAGTTTTGTTGATAATTCATTGATGTTGAGAATATTGAATGTCACATGCAATACATTGATGTCAAGAATATAGAAGGTGGACAGACGATTAGGTAATAAAGATAAAATAGCACGAGACGAGTGAGAAGCAGCAGACAGATAATAGCAAAAGAGAATAAAGTTGGTGTGAAGTTAACTACCGTAGAAGTGATAGGCCTAATAATTGACATAGGCCTAATGTTTAATATGTTAGAGTGAAACTAACAGTAGAAAAGAAGATAAGAATAGTAATTTTATTCCATCAAAGTGTTGTTCTAAAGGAATTGAATCAGCCTGGGTACACTTTGATAAAAGGAACAGAGGATATTCAAAAGAAAGAAGACCAAACGATTACGGTAATTTACACCACATTTGTAAGTGAATCACAGAGAATAGTGAGATAGAAATAGAGAAGATGGTTCAGCTTGTCAACTGAAATTCTAAAGTAACTGAATAGACCTAAGTGGATATTTGACAAGAAAGTGAGAACTACATGTATAGTATTTATGATATGCCCATAATATCTATAGTGTTGAAGAATTTATTGTACATACGTTAACTTATTCTGAATATATATATTATTTTGAAAACAAGTGAAGTGCATGCTGTTTATTCATCATTGAATTTATCACTAACATGTCACAGACACCTACTGTAGAATAACAACAACAACATACTATATACTTATACTATTAAGAAATATAACTAAAAGCCTTTTTATTTTTACAATTGGCAAAGATCAGATTTTAAGATTCTGACAGGATGTGGTATTAGTCTCGTAGAATGTATCATGCATGATCATTATATGCTCTGTGTAAACAATCAGAAAGAGACTTTCAACAGTCTATATAGTTGAGCCATATGATTAGTTTTATTCTTATTTACTCAAGTTTTTTTCTCTTGTTGTTTGACTGTAAGAGAAACCAAAATTCTAGCCCATTTTTTTTGCCTGACATTAGGAACTATGGACAGTCATCATAAAGAACCCCTGACTCAGGGAGGAGGAGGAGTTTCTACTTCTGTAATAGTCATAGTTGTGGTGGTTCTCATTCTGTTGATACTTATCATCATTGATGTAACATGCTATTTCCGCTACAAGTGGGGATTATTGCATTTTTTGAGAAATAATGCCTGTGGTAAAGCTTCCGATGGCAACAGAAATGAAAAAATTGCCCTTGACGAAGAGAAGGGCAGGTAAGAACAGTTTATTGGATTCAATTAATGGAAGAACTCTAGTATTATTTGAACCCAAGTAATATATGAATGTAGTACATGATCAAAAATATTGTTAACAGTGAGAGTATCCAGATGATGAAACAATGCATTTTCATCTTTATACATAAGAACCTAAAGAAAAGTATATTTAATCAGCTATACTCATTACCAGGATGCCTTGCTCTGATCGGTTGTTAATATTAACTAGTAACTATTTGCAAGTATAAAAAAGAAATGTTTTAACCATTTACAGTATGAACTTGCATTCATTTAGTAACTCATTGTCACTAATTTTGCAATTTCAACTTGTGAAACTGCATCACATGATTTGCCTTTCAGCAGTGCTGTTAAAATCCTAAAGATCATGACATATTTCATTACTATCTGTGTTTGTTTAGTACAAGGCTTAAGTAACAAATGTTCTTACAGATATTTCTTGTAATTTAAATAAGTGTAAATAAGACCATATTTTTTATGTAGATACTTTGAGTGATGTCAAAACATGAAAGGCTAAAGTATAATGTTATTGTCATGGGAAAATGTGGAATTTTCAACTGTTTAGTGTTTGTTCATGTACATAATTAAATAAAATTGGAAACATCTGTAAATAGATTATGAAGTAACCATATGGAAATTTAAGAATTTATATGAATATATCGGGAATAGTTTTTAATTTTCAATCTACTTCAGATTCCTTAATAAGTTATGTACTGTTATAAATATGGTTTGAAGCTGTGTCTTTTATCTTATGTATATGAATTTTTCTTAACCTGTTTTAGTTATTTAAACTGACAAATGATTTAGTTCTAGTGTTGGTTTGAAATTCACTGTCTTATCTATGTTGTTAAAATTATAGAATTATTTTTGTTGCATACTGTAATGAAAGACTAACTATTGCATTTAATCAGAAAGTAAAATATCAAATTCAACAATATTTGTCATGTTTTCCATATGTTTCTTGTAATTCAAATAAATATAAATAGGGCTACATTTTATACTTAGATGCTTTGGTTGATGTCAAAGTAAAAGATTGAAGTATAATATTATGGTAATAAAAAATGTAGAAACTTCTCTAGAATGGGTGTTATGTGATAAGTTTCCAAACAATGTGTTCCTAAGAATAAGATTAGAATTTTAAAATGGTATTAAATCATTGTTAAAGAAAGTATCAAGTATTTGGAAAATGTGTATTTTAAGTAAAATTAATAAGTCTTAAGAACACTAAAAGGATTTTAAACTTCCATTTGTTCTTTTAATAAAAAAACATAAAATGTAGGTTTTAGGGTAAAAATATAGAGATACTGTCAACCAAATTTACTTTTGTAATTATGTGTGTTTAGTTATTGTTTTCACTAAATATGATTTTAAATAGTTCAGTACTAAGCCGAGGAAAATATATCACAGAAACTTAAATACTTTGAGATAATCAGTCTAAGATCAGTCATATCAACATTCATTATGTCATAGTTTTCTTTCACAATTCTCTAAACATATTTAAAGAAAATGTCCATAATTTTGCTTATTATTAAAAAACTTATGTTATAATTAAAACAAAAAAGGTCATTTTAATTTAATTAATGATTTTATGCTAGTTTCAAAAAAAGTTTTTATAAAGTATGTTTCAATTATATTATTCTGAAAAATTAGATATTTTACACTTAGTTGGCTTTCTCATGGCATAATCATAATGAAAATTAGAGCACACTTCTTCATATAAATTATCAGTCAAATAACGTTTCCTGCTTATTAAAATGTTGAATGATTCTCTGTACAGTTTAGTGATTGGCTCAATTAAATATAATTGATTAAATTGATTAGTGTCCTTTAAAATAATCAATTAATCAAAATTATAATTAAATTGATTAATGTTATGAAAATACCTAACAAATCAAAATTTTTTTCTCATTATTACTGTTTTAAATTATTCCAACTATCCAAGTAATCAAAATATTGCTATTATGATTTCTCATTACTAGTTTCATTTAATTCAAGGTTCTTCAGCTTAATTGTTAGTCTCATATGAATAATTGATAATTTAATGTAATCAAGTGATAAGCCTGACGATTAATTGATTGATAAATTCCACTAGTTGCCCAGCTCTAATTCTCAAGTTCTAACACCAAGAACTAAGATAACAAGTCAAACTGTTACTGATTTTCTCTCTTTTTGTTTTGTTACACTTAATATAATACTTGGTTTTCTTCAGCTTTCCAGTAAACGTGGATGAAGTTAAAAGCACAGATGAAGCTACTAATTCTGCATCTCCAGTTGATGAGTAAGAAACCCCGCCATTTTCTCTGCATGTGTGTGCATGAAAGCATGAATGTGTGCGTGACTCATTTAGTAGACTGATGTGTATTGCATGTAGATCATTTAGTAGTTGTCTTATAATGTGTAGATAAACATTACTTATGTTAATGACTATATTCATTTATTCATCTTTACTCTGACATAGAAAGGTTGGACTCAAATCACAAAACATCAATCAAGATGTCACTCATTCTTCTCCACTGTTCCCTATCTTCTGCCTTCCTCTTTAAATCACCATAGTCTAGTAGCATCACTCACTACTTTTGTTTTTATTCAGTAATTTTTCTTCCATTCTTTTTCTAAGACTTGTTTCATCTAGTCTTGTTCTGTAATTATAGGCCCAATCCATTTCTTTTACTTTCTTATTTTTTCCAGTGAATATCATTTTGCAGTCTCTAGTACAATTATCTTCTTTGCTGTTCATCTCATTTTCTCTATTTTTTCACCAAATCCACGTTTCAAAACTTTCTGATCTTTTGATGTTATCTTTTCTCAAAGACCACCTTTCCTCTGTGTGTGTCACTTCATTCTATACAAGGATATAATCAAATTTTTTCCTCGGTGTTCTGTGCAATATCTTTGTTAAAAGATGTTTCTTCTTTCTAAATATTTATTTTTCCATTGCAATTTTTGATTTCATTTCTTTAATGCATCATATGTTCAAAATGTTTGAAAAGCTTTCTATTTCATGTATTAGCTTATAAATATGGAGTCTACTTGCAATATAACTGATAAATTTGAATCTTTTCTGCTCTGTGAAAATCACTCGGATCGACTCAGTTAAGATATTGAAAATTCATATATAAATCTTTAGTAGAAATACTCAATTAAAAATTCTGATTTTTTGTGTACAATAAACTTGTAAAGCTTGCTATACGTTTGCCAAGTTTCGTGTACATGCACATAAGGTTAAAGATGTCCAGGACTTTACGTGTTGTACTAGATATGACTGGAACTACAATCAGCCAGTATTTTGTAAATGGTAATAATCTAGTGTAAAGTGAGCCTTTAAAAATGTATTATTTTGAACCAGCAAAATGCCAGTTTAACACTTAATTTAATGGGTCATGCCACAAATTGATTAAGCTGAACAAATTTGAATCAATTGAAAATAATAATGAGAAATCATAATGGCAATATTTTAATTACTTAGATAGTTAGAATAAAGAGAAACAGAAATATCAAAATCTATTTTCGATTAGATGATTATTTTTGTGACATTATTTTAATTTTGAATATTTGATAATTTTAAGAAACACTAATTGATTATATTGAGTTAATCACCCAACTCTACACGGGTTAATAGACTTACTAAGTAGTTACACCACATTATCCAGTGCTTAGTGGTGAAATATTTTGTTCCTACAGACTGTTAAAGTCACTTCTGAGGTGTAAAGATCATTTTTTGTAAACTTTTTATCAAAATGTGTAAATCTCTCCAGTATGCACTACAAATTTTGTTAAAGTCACTCCATTAACTTTTTACCACATACAAAATTATCCATGAATAATCAAGCTTTATTACATAAGCAGCGCATTTTTCCTGATGCTTCTTTATGAGGTACTTAACACTCTTTGTAATAACTTAGTAATGTATTCTCTTTTCAGTGAAAAGAACCTGCTCCACAAGTCTGATGAAAAAACAAAAGATGATGAGGTAGCTCAAGAAGACACACCAATGATTCTCCAAAATAGGTATATATTTTTTAACTTGAAGACCCTTTTTGAAATATACAGAAAAAATTGGATTTCTAAGGTACCAGAGTACCACCTTTCTACTCTTACATCTTTATTTACATTCACAGCACTGAACTAACTAAGGAATTCATTACCTGGCTTAGAGTAACATACAAGTTAACTGACTAGATCATGCACCTGCTTTTTTTATATATGACTCCAGTTGTTTCCTAAACTTTCAAGAAGGTTATTATCATCAAGGCCATACCCATTACATTATTCTTCCTTCCAACTAAGTAGCAATACAAATTTCTAGAAATATCTTAATTAAAGACATCTGGAAGAACCTGAAAGTTTGTCAAAAGCTTTACGAGTGAGATTTTCTAGCTTCACTACAGTTTGCATTTTAAGTCAAACTATGTCTTCCATGATATACACGTAAAAGACATAAAGTTTAACACACAGAAATAGTTAACTGAATGTTTTATGGTCAGAGCAAGAATAATTACCTTGACCAATACAGAAAAATAAGTTGAAATACAAAAAAAGTAATGTTTCAGAGTGACGATTTCTTTGGTGACAGGTTTCAGTACTATATCTTAACTCTATTTATTTTTCATTGCAATAAGCTGTAACTTTTAAAGCCTGATTTCTCAAGCTGACTTTTTGCCGTACGGGAGACATAGCTATACAAACATCAGTTTCAACTGCACACTTTGAAAATAAATAAAATAAGATACTGTTTTATCTCAGCAGCATTTTCTCTTATTTTATTAGAAACAGATGCTCAAATAGACTTACATATTTACACTACATTAATGTCATGAATGCTTACCATATCTAAGCAAGCATTTGTGTGTATGTGTACAATGTACAAACACAGAGACTTTGGTTAGTAGGAGATCCAACCATAGTAGGAGAACAGTTACAATGTAAAGCACTTTCATTGGCACATTTAGAAATAAGTGTTAATCACCATACTATGTTGATATCTATGAGTATACATAACAAATGTTACTAACATAAAATAAATGTCAACAATTCAGCACACAAGAAATTTTTGAGAGGATAAAACAGTAAATACACGCTGATTCTCTTTAGTTCATTGAAGTGAAAAATCACAGTCTATTGTTCTATCACGGAAGATGGGTTGTTCTCCCTCACTTTATGTCTGTTTTAACCACTGTGATGGGTCTCCATTTGCAGACTTATTCTATTCTTTTCAAACCTGAACACCTGGCTTTTGCTGGATACGTTTGATTATCTTGTTGTATGCAGACTTTTTATTCTGTAGCCCCACGTACAGTATTTTCACTATCTATATTTGACTATTTTCATGTATGTGGGATCATCTTATGCTTTCTTCAGAGCACATTTATAGGTTTTTAACACATAAAATCAGAATGCAAAGTTATCCATGGCAACACACCTATATGTGTGTTGAAGGTATGTTCATTGGAATTTATGAATATAATATGTATTTATCTTAGTGTTTGTGGTGCTCTAGTTATTCTAGCTGTTATCAACACTTCTCAGTTGTTTACTTTCAAGGTATCGCCATGCATTATTTTAATAAACCAAAAATGAGTGAGCAAATCAAATCATTTAAAAGATATTTCCTAATTCATAAATCCACCTTATAGTTCAGGAAGTAAAGAGTGCAAATCTCTTTCAGCTTCCATACATTTTTCTGTCTTTTGCGATTACCTTCTGTTGTTCACATTGTTGATGTCCTAGGCATTATATCTACCAAAATCAGCTGGCCTAACTTTTAAAACCTAGTGAATTTCAATATATGCTGCAGAAAATCTGTCTTCTCATCGGGTGGATTAGAAAGTATGGGTCACACCACCCTCTTAACATTAATCTATAGAAAAACCCAGTGCTTTAACTGCTCAGAGTGGTCTCTCATTCTCAGCCATATTGCTGATATAGCAGTTATTGCTGTGCTTCTATATGGGTTACTCATTTGGGTGGCATCTTCTCTTTCCCTGCTTCTTCATAAACAGCCAGGGAAGGTTCAGTATTTCTTTCCTCTTCATCTTTATTCATTGGATAACAGGAGTACTAGATGGTGCTCTCAACACTGTCAAAATCCTTGACCTTTGACTTGTTCACTCTCATAGGATATCAAGCACTATTTGGTTTACAAAATATAGCAGTATAGGATATTTTTAAAAAAACAATAGGACCAAATGCTAAAACATAGGATCCATTTAGAACAGAAACTCATTAATACCTGCGTACTTGTATTTCTTTATGCAGAAATTCCTATTTGTGTAACAAAATCAATTTTAAATAAAATAGACTGAACATATATTTGCTCACTTTTAAACAAACATGTCCAGGCTGTCAGCCCAGTTGGTGTTTTGAAGTGAAACTGTACTCTTGCAACAATGTGATCCGGTGTTCATTTATAGCTTCTAGTTCTGTGGATTTCACTAACCATTTCAGTGATGCGTCATGCACTCGGTCAGAACATTCAGAACCATACAAGTAGTGTTAAAAGTACTTAACAAATACTGCTACTGTGAACAATTCTTTCTTTATGTTATAGTAATAGTGTTGTTTCAACATGAGTGTAGGGCTCACACACATACTGTAACACACACTACACTGTCCTGTATTTATGCTTTTTATGTGACTCTCACTTAAGAATTCTGTTTGATGAAATTCAAAAAACGTGGAATGATTTCACAAGCTTACAATTTTTTTAAAACTTCTAAATGAAAGCTGTTATGAGTACACAAAGTTTCAAACAGTTCTAAGTATTAACACATTTTTTTGTCCATATCTGTTGGTTATACTTTAAAATAAAATTATCTGAAAACCTCAAAATAAAAAAAATGTTCATTTTCAAAACCTTAACCCACAATATAACTAAAAGTAGCAGGATAAGTGGAACATTACTAATCCAGTTGAAAAAAAATTACAAACTATATTTAGTGCATAGAAATATATTAAATGTACACTTTCATAAAATATGTAGTTAAATGCTTAGCATGAAGCATGAAAATCTCTAAACCATTACAATCTCTGAATCTTTCTCTAACTACAATTTTGGCCGGCATGGCCAGGTGGTTAGGGCGCTCGACTCGCAATCTGTGGGTCGCAGTTTCAAATCTCCATCACACCAAACGTGCTCACCCTTTCAGCCATGGGTGTGTTATAATGTTACAGTCAATCCCAATATTTGTTGGTAAAAGAGTAGCCCAAGAGTTGGCGGTGGGTGGTGATGACTAGCTGCCTTTCCTCTAGTCTTACATTAATAAATTAGGGATGGCTAGTGCAGATAACCCTTGTGTAGCTTTGTGCAAAATTCAAAACATATCATTGGACATTTATTTAAATTTTAATAACAAACCAAACAAACTAACTACAATTTTAATTTATGTGCTATCTTTGAGCAAAAGGAAAGGTGAATTAGACAGTATTCACCCAGTCTGCCAATGAATGAAAATAGCTCTTTAAGCATATGATTTGTAAGCTGTTGTTAACTAGAGAGTCCCGTTTTGCTATTTAATGTAATAGTTTATTATCAAGTTCATAGAGTTAGTTTAAAGCCATTCACACTTTCATTAGTTTATTTTTCATTAAAAACAATGGTTGGGAGAATTTGCTGCTTGCATTAAACCACTCTAATATAGAAAGTATGTAGATGACATACATTTCCCATTTTTTAATCTCAGTTAATGGATTTTTGAAATACTAGAATAAGCATCACCCAAACATAAGAATTACAGTTGAATGTGAACAACAGTGCAGTTCGGTGTTTTTGGATACTTTAGTATATAACCAACAAGGCAGTTGTAAAGTTGGTGGTTATTCTAAACCAACGTTTAGGTCTTGATAGTTTTGCTTATAAGGCATTTATATGAATTTGACCAAAGTGCTTGGTAATACATTTACAAAATTATAAACAAATATTCTTTGTTTTATAACAAAATAATTTGCATTATACAGTTTCTAAAATGTAATGAACTTGATAATAACTTCATTAGAAGCATTATCAGTTAAAATTTAAGTGTACGAACTACTGAAGTTTTTAATTTTATAGCTCAAGAAACCAACAGTAATAGTTAGTTTCAATCATGTGTAGAATACATTCTCAGATAGAAATCAAAAGTGTGATCAAGTCTGTTGTGAGAATATCAAGTTTTTTTCCATTTCAGGAATTTGATACCTAAAATAAAAAGTATCTGTCATTTACAAACTTACATATCCAAGTTGTGGATAGGAATATATAAGCTCTACCATTAAGTGACTGTCTACTCTTATATAAGCTCTACCGTTAATTGTGACTGTCTACTCTTATATAAGCTCTACCGTTAATTGTGACTGTCTACTCTTATATAAGCTCTACCGTTAAGTGACTGTCTACTCTTATATAAGCTCTACCGTTAAGTGACTGTCTACTCTTATATAAGCTCTACCGTTAAGTGACTGTCTACTCTTATATAAGCTCTACCGTTAAGTGACTGTCTACTCTTATATAAGCTCTACCGTTAAGTGACTGTCTACTCTTATATAAGCTCTACTGTTAATTGTGACTGTCTACTCTTATATAAGCTCTACCGTTAATTGTGACTGTCTACTCTTATATAAGCTCTACCGTTAAGTGACTGTCTACTCTTATATAAGCTCTACCGTTAAGTGACTTATAAAGAAACATGCTTTTGGGAACATGAGAATTTATCTAGAATTGCATCACACATTTCAACTAAATGTAATGCTGCTGTTACTAGTGACAACTTTGTGTTTATGATCTGTCACTTAAGGTTCATGAAAGTCTGACTGTTGTGAACCTGAAGACGAAACTAAACCAGTAAAATTTGGTGATACCACATCTACTTCAGCTGTAAGCTGGCTCTGTTGCTTTCATATTTCTGTTTGGTCTTGATGTCTCAGAATTATGTCATGAAGTATACCACTTTCATGTTTTCTGTGTTAATTTGACATTTCAGTAATATTTGTATTACTTTCATCTTACAGTGAGAATGACACTGTGATTGAAGAGGATGACAAAAACGAATACTCCAAGGAGTCTAAAACAAGCCTACAGTAGCTACAAAAAACAATACTGTAATAGCTCAACTGACCTAACTTGAAACAACATTGTTTTTTAATCTTTACATAGGTTTTACCAAAGCCACACACTATTTTTAAAGCAGATTTTTTTTATAATTTTACAATCAAATATTTTTTGCATTGCTAGACATGAAAAAAAAATTGTTTTATTGGTCATAAACTACTTGAAATTTTAGGTTTGTAAATCCATAGGCTTAGCACATAGTAATAAGGGTTTGATAGTAAGAAACTGCTATATAGGATTTTTTCCCCTAACTCAGCAGTTCTTTGCATTCACAAATTGCAAGCTGTTTTCCTTTTGTTAATATAATAGACAAAATGCTCTAATATTAATTGTATTTTGTCCGACAGCTTATTTCAGTGATACTTTAATTTTATTTTTTTCATTTTGTTCATTAAAAGGAAACAGGTATTAATCATTTTTTTTGTAGAAAGTTACTGTGTTTCATTCTTTCATATATATTTGTAAATTGTATTCATTATTTGTACAAATGCAACTATTTAGTTGGATATTGTTGTGCTAGGGAACCTTTTATTGGGGTGAAAAAGGGGTAAATTTTGTTTTACAAAAATACTTACCAGTAAATATTTCTAGTTTATCTTAATAAGTAATTGATTGTTCAAAGAAAGTATGTCAGTTATCATTGTGATTAATATGCTTCTGATAGAAATTAAATCAAAAATATTTTTTGAGGTTCTTTAACAGATATATAGAGTATAGCTAGTATCTATAATACTTTGTCGTGTGTTTCTATTTTAGCCTACATGACAGTTTAGTTGAACTTGAATACAATGTTGTAACCTGTTACTGACAGTTATAGTAAGCTAATCCTAGCAGTCAACATTGATGTTTTTATTTCCTTGTTGTTAATATAAAGTTTCTTACATATTACTTCATATGTTGCTCACATGAAAGAGACCTAACATTCTAGTCTTATTGTGGTCAAAATTTAGTACATGCGCCATCTAAGTCCGTCCAATAAATAGGAGCATAGAACCAAATAAATCAAATTTTTTCCCTCTCTGTCATTTTTTGAAAAAAAGACTAACTGTTCTATTGACTTCTTTCAGAGAATAGTCTTGAACTTCAGAACTGCTTGATTTCCTCTTGGAATAACACACCCCTTGCCATTATTATTTTAGTTCACAGATTTTTTTTTTGTCACTGGGGGCTCGAAGTACCTTATATGAAAGGCAAATAAAGTGTTTTGTAAATAAATATCGTTCAAACATTTAAAACTGGGTATTTCAAAGGATTTTAACATCATGCAGCTGAAGGACTTTTGGGGGTTATAAAGCTTGAAAATGAATGTAAATCTATGAATATTAAACTCTGACACTGAATAAAGACATTTTCTGCTATCATGAATAACATAAAGAGTAATTATGTTCTTACGTATTAGAAATAAGAAAATGGTAAGTTAAGCTGCTGATTTTTGTAATCATGATAAGAATAAACAACAACTCAAAACAGGAGAGAAAAGATAATTAACACATTTACTAATTAATATTGTTTCAACACTCTTAGTTTAACCATCTATCTTTTTATTGAATGCATAACAGATTTTAAATATTAATAAGTAAAAAGTTGATATAACTAGGGGTGCATATCTCATCATAGCAGTCGATACGATACGTATCCAGATATTGATGCCTCGATATGATACGTATCTAGATACAGAAGTTTTACCAACGGTTTGTTACAAAGTTTGTCAGTCTTGTCTGTAATTTATTATCTATATTACTAACATTGTCTTATTTAAGTACTTCACACTTTATAGTGCTTTTTCAGATCCTCAGGTTTGATCAACTAAATGGCAGCTGGCAAGAGAAGTAAAATAAAAAAAGTTAATATCTGTATCTATTTTGTTATTGTTAATTTGTTATGTTACTTTGCATGTAATGTTTTTGATAAAAGAAATGAAGACAACATGTAGTACTCAATACTCATCTTCCTTTATTGAATCATTAATTTTTAGCAAAAATACTTTATTAGGAATTCAGATTTTTTTCTGTACAAAAGACTTATAATGTTTACTGAAAGCTTGCCAAATTCGTGAAGATACCTAAATCGTATTGTATCATATCGGGCGATTTATCAATACAATCGTATCACGGCTTCACGATATGATACTTGTATCGTATCACTGTATCACCATACTTTTAGATATAACTAATGCTATTCTTTACAAAATAGCTGAGAGTCAGATTAACTGTATTGTGAATAATTCAACGGGGGCAGGTTATCCACTTGTAGCTTTCACATCTTGATATTAAATGTTCTTTAGGTGTTTTTGTATGATATCCCATTTTTGGTATTAATAAAAGTCTCGACTAATAGCATTGAAAATTATTGATGATACATTGAGGTATATTAATTCAATTTTATTATTTGTACTTAATTCATAATGTGATAAATAAACCAATTATTGGTTTTAAACATTCATGTTTGGGAGATCACTCTTGTCTGTGCTTATTTTCTACTTCACATAAATTTAAGTGTTAAAAAAGTTTAATACAGCACACTAACTGATGTGCTTCCTTAAAAAACGTATAATTTTTTGCCTGTGTATTTGTACGTTTATATAAAAAAAAGTTTCTAGCCTGTTGTGCTATGTAAATGTGTATGAAAATAAATCAGTCAGTCAATCTTAAGCTCAAGTCTTCAGTTTTTTAAACAAAAAAATAATAGATTTAAGGATTGTAAATGTCATCAAATCTCCTTACTTGCAAATGAATACAAGCAAAGCATATATTAGTTTCACGTAAGTTTGAAGAGAATGATGACCGACATTTAAACTTCCAAATATCCTAAAATTCATTTCTACATTCCTCATTATTGTTGACTATAACATTTAATACACTTAGTTACAATCCTTAAAATTCAATATAGACAAATATATCTTTTTTTTGTTTTTAAATTGTATACTTATGCACATTACAAAAGATAGTTATAATGAAATGATTTTCTCTTTTTGTATTGATTTTTGGTGAGTTCTATAGTATATCATTTGAAAGAGCACTTACATGTTTATGGTATATTTATAAATTATCAATATTTTAGTAGCAGCAATATTTATTTCTTGAAGCTCCAATCTTAAGAATATAAAAACCAATACAGGATTCAGTCAATAATTTAGGAAAAGTTTGCGTGCTTATAATCATAATTTTTCCGTAAAGTGGTGACATTTGGATCATAATTTTATTTTAACACTTTATGATCCACACCTATACATTTATGCCAATTATGGTCATGGAAAAACCCTTCCATGGACGATAAAGGGTTAAGAATTGTTTGGAAGGATGTTTTTATAAAGCTAATAGTACATACCTCAACAACTTACAATATGTTATGTATTATTTATCACCTTTTTTTTTCACTTAAGCATATTTAAATTGATGGTTTTTGTTTGAGCATAAAACTTCACAGTAGGCTACCTGTGCTGTGTCTGCCATAGGGATCGAACCTCAAATTTTATAGTTAAATACCCTCAAGTTTGCTTCTGAGCCACCATGTGATTCAGTTTATGGGGATGACCTTATACATAGTATACCACACTTTTATGAGTCTTGAGTTTGTTTATGGGGATGACCTTATATGTAGTATACCACACTTTTATGAGTCTTGAGTTTGTTTATGGGGATGACCTTATATGTAGTATACCACACTTTTATGAGTCTTGAGTTTGTTTATGGGGATGACCTTATATGTAGTATACCACACTTTTATGAGTCTTGAGTTTGTTTATGGGGATGACCTTATACGTAGTATACCACACTTTTATGAGTCTTGAGTTTGTTTATGGGGATGACCTTATATGTAGTATACCACATTTTTGTGAGTCTTGAGTTTTATATACATTCATAAATCTATTTATTTCTTAAAGAGGAATTAAACACTTTTTTAAGGTTAAATTCTTACTTATATTTGTAGATGCATGTATTTTCCAGCCAAAATTGATTGTAATAATAGAGAGAAAATACTTGCTTCTCTGTGTCACTCAAAAATGTTTTAACATTCTACAGTGGAATTCTTTCTGGGAATGATACAGAAAAATTCTGTTGGTAGGCACAACATCACATTCATTTAGATAGTAGTTGGTAATACCACTCAAGTTGCGGGATCTTGTATCAATGTTCATTTATTTGACTATAAAGCCTTCTTCTGGTTGATCCAATATACTCTTGGTATTCAATGGATGTTATTCATCTTAAAATTCATGAGCTCATTTATCCTACATTCTGTTAGAAGACAGATTTCAACTGAACTTGTGAATATAGCTTTTCTTAACTTTCTTCTTAATAATGTACAAAATAGTGCTTAAGTAGGGTATGACTAAATTAACATTAACATAACAACAGGTAGAGTATTGAGTTTTTCACCATGGGTGAGGGATTATTCTCTTTAGGAAGAACAGCAAAAACAATTTCTTGAAATCATTTGTTTAATATTCTTAACCTCTGTTTGAAAAAGATCTCAATTTATCAATATCCTAAATACTCTATAAAACAGGGTTTAAAAATATGGTCTTTAAAAATTGAAAGAGTGAAACATTCAAAATGTTAATAAAGTCCAGTAAAAGTCGGTTTTGATACACTTTAGTGGTAAATAAAAGTATGGAGACAGCTAAAATGTGGGTTCCTCATTACCAAACTTTAGCAGTAAGTATATTGTTACGCCTCCAGTTGTTAGTTAATTTTCCGTAAATTCGTTCCAACGAAACTTTAGCGACACAAGTACTTTCATAAATAAAACTGATTTATTCTTTCCGAATACAACTTTACCGATACATTTAATTTCAACAGTCGCTCTATAACAACGCAAGAACGTCTCACGTGCTTGTGCTCGACAATACTTAGTTCAGTTACACACTCTCTGACTGCAGTTCAATTACTCACTTCACTGTTCGTCACATTGTGACCATCTTATATATACCAGACTACCCCCAATCTAGTAGTCTCCCGATAATTCTCGAAGGTTCGAGACGGACGTGGCGTGATACTAGTCACGTGACCTCGCTGACGCAACAATATCATGGTTATTTAAGATATAAACATCTTAAAATTAGAGTTTATCATTCTGTTGAATAATTTAACTATTTTTTTCAGTTTGTAAATGGTAAAAATCCCAATATCAAGTTTAAATAGCTCATTGATAAGATTACCAAAGGTTACAGTGTAAATCCACATTTGACTTGTTAACCTGTACCATTTTAGACATTTCCACAAAACATATATTTGTTAAATGCTTACGTTTAAGCCCTAATAACAAAACTTACTTACCCATGAACTGAATTCTTCATCAGACACATACTGAACATTGGTCAAGAATGACACATTTGCAGTTGACTCTCTTAAACTTTCAAAATGCTATGCATGATATATATATATATATATTGCATTACTGTTATCGGTCCAGGTTGTCAACTTATTGTCATAGCGGATAATGTCTGTGACAGTAGCACCCAAATGCGTTGGGAATATCCCATCTATCAGACAAAATCCAAACGTTGATGTTAATCTAGTCAGCCATCATGGAATATCAAATAAATAAGGGTGAGAAGCTGAGTGATTACACCCACGACGTCTCAGTTTCTATTGCCTTTCACTGTCTATAGCCAGTTGTGGGAATGCAGCTACTCATAAATTTCTTAAAGTAGAAATGAAACCACCCTAACATAAACTCCCAACATCCACCCTTACATAAAGATATTAAATAGAACTATAAACTCTACTTAAAAGTTCTTATGTAGTTCTTACTCCCAACCTCCTCCATTTCCCATAAAGAGTTATTCAAAAATAACACGGGAACGCCGAAACAAGCCCAGCTACATGAAGTTAGTCTTTCCGTCCCGGTATACTGAATAAAATTATTTAAAAATCTATTATCAATCTATCCTTAACAGTACCTTTGATTTAAAATCTTTCAGGCCTCAAAGAAGACTTATAGTTAATCAGGGGCGCTCAGAAACAGTTATTTCTCTTCAGCTCCGCTCACGAAATGAAGGTTATAGTTCATAAAGAAATATTAAAGGCATAGCAGCTGGTATGATACGTACTGATAAGCTGTTCTGGTTTTTATATTTAATTATTTTCATGCGCGTATTTAAAAACTAATATTAATTGGGCGGGTAAAATACTATCTGACTAAATATCTAATTTGTAAGAAGCATCCAGTAAAAGCAATGACTTAGGAGAAACGAGAAGAGAAGAAGAGCTGGGCATTGTATTTTAGTCTTGAAGTGTCGGAACAGCGTTTTGAAGATGGAAGCACGTGGTATCCACGCGTGTTTGTTTATACACGTTGTGATGACGTGGTAGAGCCTTTCCTACTGTGCCTCTTGTTAAACTTGGAGATGATCATCTTGCTAAGGTACGAGAATTCTTGCGTAG